TTCCTTCCGCCAAGAGATGCGGTCTGAAGGCCTGACCGAGGCCATCTTACGCCGACATCAGGGCCCTTACCCAGCGACAACCCAAAGTCGGACGACGGATACTCCCATCGATGGTATATTTGTGACCGACGGCGTCCGTGTAACGGCAGGTGGATACTTGGACTTTCAGCAGTATTTTAAGTCGGACCATAGGGGACTCTGGATTGACATTGACCTGGAAGCGACTCTGGGGGCTCCACCGGTGACCTCTCCTTCCTTCCAACCACGTCGATTGACACTGGCTGATGGTCGGTCTGTGGACCGCTATATTAAGGCTTCGGAAGCGGGCTACCGGCATTTCCGCCTTCCCCAACGCTTGACCCAATTAGCGGAGGATATTTCGGTCCAGGACGGTTACCTTACGGCGAATCAGCAAGCTCGATTCAACACCATTCATCGCCAGGCCTATGAGATCCGCCGAAGGGCTGAGCGCAACTGCTGGAAACTGTCGATGGGTAAGGTTCACTGGTCACCACAAATGCAGCAGAAATGGGATAGGTTGCACCTTTACCAGCTCCTGATATTGGGCCATAAACAGGTCAGGACTAGTTCACGGAAGGTACGGCGTTTGTTGAAGAGGACCGGGCTGACCGATGCATGGAAATTGTCAGAAGCTGACCTACAGGCAAAGTGGTACCTTGAACATCAAGACTACAAAGAGGCCAAGCGGAAGCGTGCCCATCAGTGGCGCCTGGAATATCTGGAGACCCGATCGGCAGCGGTCCAGAGCGCAAAGAAGGGCAACATCAAAGCTTGTACCAGACGGACTCGAGTCCAGCGGATGGCACAAAAAGAAGAGACCCGACGGCGACGGAAAACTCAAGGCAAAGGCTTCTCTGGCGGCCTCGAGCAGATCAAAGTGGCACAGGTGGCACAGGATGGTACCTCCCATTGGGTAACATGCCAGTCTAAACGTCTTCTGGAAGAAGGCTGCATGCAAGAGAACCGGCTCCGGTATGACCAGACCCGCTACCCCTACTCCACTCCACACATGACTGAACCTTTGTACTCCGACTTCAATGGCCCCAATGCCAAAAGTAACAGCCAAGCACTGCTCCGTGGTCTCTATGAAGGCGAGACAGCGGATCCTTACCTGGTGTCATTCCTGGATCATTGCCGACGGCCGGAGGGCTTGGAAGACCAGCCACTGGAAGTGGATCTGGAGGACCATGTTAGCTTCTGGCGTAAGACCGTGTCTTTACTCCTCCGACCCTGATTCCATTTTCAAGGATGTGGACAAGGCAATGGGGCAGGACCTCCCATCTGGGTTGCAATTAGCTCCATTCTCTTGGGGATGATGATTAGCAAAGGCTTTGGCTTTGACTTTCTGATGTCAATCTCTTCGGCTTCGCTCTTGGCCAATTGCTTTTGTTTCGTCGATGACACTGATGTCTGCCAAGCGGCACCGTCTCCTGACCAGTCTGGGGAATCTATTGTCCCAGAGGTGGCCAAAGCACTGAAATTGTGGTCCAACGGCGTCCGCCTGACTGGTGGCGCCATCCCACCAGATAAATCCTTTTGGTATCTGATTGACTTCAAGTGGAATGCCCAACAAGGTGTATGGAAATTCCGGCGGAAGGGGGATTTCAAACCATCTCTTCTTCCCACAGGAATGTCGGAAATTGCGGTT